CTTGGATGCTGTCTAAGCCCCAACCTTGTTCCCTCACTTCCTCCCTGTTTTGCAGAACTCAGGTAGCCATCTTCCCCTTTGGGTGAGTGGCCAGTACAGCCCAGGCTATGGCTGTGGCTGTGGCTGTGGCAGGTAGCCCTTGCCAGATGCTGCTGCTCAACTTCTAGGCTTTTCTAGGGGGTAGGTTGGGCAGAAACCAGGTGCTCCTCCTGCTTCAGAGCCCTGGGAGCTCACCCAGAAGCCCCAGAGGTCTGCTCACCTATAGCTTGTCTCTTCCTCTGACCTGTGTAAATGCTACCACATTTACCAATAAAGTCTACTCCGCAAAAAAAAAAAAAAAAAAAAAGAACAGTTAGGGCCCTAAAGTAGGAAGAGGATAGGCTAAATGCAGTGCTTTTCAGACTTCACTATGTGCACACATTGCCCGGGGATCTTGTTTTTTGGTGTCTTTTTTTTTTTTTCTTTTTTCCTATTTTTAGTAGAGACAGGGTCTGGATTTTGCTCAGGCTGGTCTTGAACTCCTGAGCTCAGGCTATCCACCGCCTCAGCCTCCTAGACAGCTAGGACTACAGGTGTAAGCCACTGAGCCTGGCCTTTTCTCCCTGCTCCACCCCACAGGGCTCTTGTTAAAACACAGATCCTGGCTCGGCGCCTATAGCTCAGCCGGCTAAGGCGCCAGCCACGTACACCTAAGGTGGCAGGTTCGAATCCCCAGCCCGGACCCGCCAAACAACGATGGCTGCAACCAAAAAATAGCCGGGCGTTGTGGCGGGCGCCTGTGGTCCCAGCTACTTGGGAGGCGGAGGCAGGAGACTCGCTTGAGCCCAGGAGTTGGAGGTTGCTGTGAGCTGTAATGCCACGGCACTCTGCCCAGGGGGACAGCTTGAGGCTCTGTCTCAAAAAAAAAAAAAACACAGATCCTGATTGAGTAGTCTGGATAGGGCTGACACGGCTGCTTTTTCAACAAGCACCCAAGTGACACTGATGCTACAGGTTCTCAAAGATGCTTTCAGTAGAGAGGGAATAGAGTTAATTCAAAAGAGCCATTCCTACCTGCCTCCCACCCCACAAAGAGATCTGCAGGCTAACAGAGAAACAGAATATAGTATTTTTTAGGGAAAAAACAAACAAAACTTTACAGCTGTGACATCAGTGACAAAATTTTCTGCCAAGTGACAAACCTAAAGTTTGGGCTTAAGAGCTATAGAGAATCCCAAGAATGCTCCAGATTCTCTGACCTGATAAGGCTTACCCGTCACTTGTCCCAAGGAACAAAGTCATTACCCATAACCCCTCAGCCTGAGCAATCAGCACATGAATCTAATCCTGAACATCCAATGAATACCTCCCAGGTCAGGTACTAGGAATACAAAGAGCTCCCAGTGTAAAATCAAAGAGCTGAGTCAGCATACAAACAGTCTCAAAACAAGACAGTTGAAAGTTGAGTTGGGACTTTGGGGACAGTGACAAGATAAGGCCAGGCCCTGCTTAAAGCCAAGAGCTTGGTTTAATAGGGGGCATTCTCAGGAAAACAATAAAGTAATTCAAGTCAGAGCTCTAATTTTTGGAAACTATAACATGTGTTATAAGTGTGTAATACCATCTCAAAGCATGGAGATTAATTGATTAAAAATGGCTGACAATGGGTCAAGCGTGGTGCCTCATGCCTGTAATCCTAGCACTCTGTGAGGCTAAGACTGGTGGACTGCCTGAGTTTGAGACAAGAAGGAGCCAGAGCAAGACCTCATCTCGAAAAATAGCCAGGCGTTGTGGCAGGCACCTCTAGTCCCAGCTACCTGGGAGGCTGAGGCAAGAAGAATCACTTGAGCCCAAGGATTTGAGGTTGCTGTGACACCACATGCTCTACCTAGGGTAACAGACTCTGTCTCAAATAAAAATAAAAAAATAAAAAGGTTGAAAATGGCAAACTGTTAAACATTACTTCCAAGTGGTTTTAGCTAAACAAATGAAAGTGAGAGACCTTTTAACAGCTCTATTCTTTCCTTTTTCTGGTAACCACACAATGATCCAGACAGTCAAGTCCAGATCTAATTCCCTTTTCTTTAAAAGTTGGACTTTGAGGTAGAAACAGGTCCACATGCCAAGTTCTCTGCATCATTTTGATAATGCATGTGACGTGGCAAAATGAAACCTAAAGTGTGCTTATCTAAGAATGAGTACATGCTCCCAGAGACAGTGGCAGGCCCTGCCTGGTAGGCAGACTTTCCTAAGAAACTGCTGACAAAAGCCATGCCTTCAGCCAGCCAAGCATCTGTGTAGTGGGGATATTTTCCAAAAAAATCTTGACCAATGAGGAATATGGCAATAGAACTACATGACAGGAATATGTCCATGTTTACCCAGTGGCTCTGAAGAGAAAAGGTGACTGTGTGGGACTGGTACAATAAGCCTCACTGGCAGGACAGTTTATCCCTATAGAGGGGTAGCTTTGGGGGGCTTCCTGAGTTGCTGATGCTGTCCTAAGGGATTATAGGTATGGGAGAAGTGTAAGGCCCCAAAAGAACAACTGCTACCTTTGGGGAGGGGTGTGGGATAGGGTGAGCTCTATGAGGGACACTTTTACTTTCCTGGTATCATTCAAATTGTATATAATGTTAAATATATTCAAACACGACTTGCATAATTAAAAATAAATTTTAAAAAGCATGAACAAAACAATGCCACAATTCCCTTTGCATTTACCCCACAGTCATCAAACACAAAAGCCTGATTCCATTTCCTGAGAAGTTCCAGCAAGAATAGGTTGAAGGCTGGGTGCAGTGGCTCATGCCTACAATCGTACCCTCTGGGAGGCCAAGGTGGGTGAATTCAGGAGTTCACTGCTTGAATTCAGAAGTTCCAGACCAGCCTGAGCAAGAGCAAGATCCCATCTCTAAAAAGAGCAGGGTGTTATGGTCGGTGCCTATCATCTCAGCTACTCAGGAGGCTGAGGCAAAAGGATCACATGAGCCCAAGAGTTTGAGGTTGCTGTGAGCTATGACGCCACAGCACTCTACTAAGAGTGACAAAGTGAGACTCTGTCTCAAAAAAAAAGAATAGGTTGAGCATTCTAGCACACTTAGAAGTCTATATCTTGGTAAAAATTAATAAACTGCATTGTAGGACACCATCTCTGGTAGTTTGGTCCCTCTGACCCCACTCTCTCCTCCTCCATTTACTGCTTCTGAACAGATCCCTCTCTCACCCGGCCACCATAGAGGCCTTTCAGAAATATATTCTGGATCTTCCCAATGCCATCTCTTGCCCAAGGATAAACATCAACACATCTTGGCAGCACATGTGCAACTCTGTGTGCTCCCAACAGCTACACTGAAGTACAGACTTGTCCTCTGTAACCTCACACCTCCTGGCTTTCTGCCCATTCTGCTATACCTACTGAAAACTCCTTTCTCTTCGTTCCTTAAAATCCTTCCTATTCCTCAAGACTCAGCATGGCATCAGTACTGCCCCTGGTTGGTGTTCCCTGGTATCTTTTGCTCTGGGCTAACACAGCATATGGGGCTTACCCCCCAGTACAGTTAAACACACTGCTTACCTCTCTATGGTCTTTAATTCTGCATCCTTAATACCTGATCCATAGTAGAAGCTCCATAAACATGTTGCCAAAACTGAAGGATGTTTTATTCCCCTGGCCCTAATATCACAAAACTCATAAAATTGAGTATCCAAACTTGCATGAACAAATTGTAAGGGAAGTCTGTCAGCTTGTCTCTTTCTCTGCCCTTGCACTGAATCTTGAAACACCTGTGCACCATAGTCAAGGCTTGAGGTGCCCTCAACACATCATTAGGCTGGGCTATAAGAACCAGGTGGGGCCAAGAGGCTCAGCCTTTATTTATCCTTGACCTAAGACGGTAGCAAAGAAGGAACCAAACACTGAGGACCTCATCAGAGATAATGCTGAACATCTGCTGATTCTAAATATTTCATCTCATCTGTCAATGAAGTTCATTACATTAACTAACTTTACATTCCTAGGATAACCCCAATCTGCTCCTGAGGAATGATTTTTTAAAATTTATTTCATATATTAAAATGATAAGAACAGATACTACACTTACTTGATCTTAGCCAAAAGGCCAATAAGCAGAAATTACCCCTTTTTACACACTTCTAGATTCGGGATCTTAATACCTTGTAGAGAATTTTTGGACTTATGCGTGACATTGGCCTATAATTTTCTTGTATCATCGTTATCAGATTTAGTATCACAGTTATGCTAGGCTCTTTTTCAATACTCGGGAAGAATTTGTGTAAAACCAGAATTACTTATTCCCTCAGTGATCAGTAGAACTCACCAATGAAGCCAGCTAGGCTCAAGAGTTTACTTTGAGGGAAAATCTTTGACTATTAATTCAATATCTTTTATGATTATAGACTATTTCAGTTTTCTATTTTTTATTGAATTATGATAAATTATAGTTCTCTAGGTAATCCAAGCATTTGGATTACAAGGATAACTGATACTGAAATGCTAACTGAGGCGTATTCTGCAAGAAGTGGCCTTCTCAATCATCAGAGAAATAACAGCTCACATGTGGACTGTACGTTACAGTTTATAAAAATACTACTCATGTATTACCTCATAGGAAGATCAAGGTCTGGGTGGTTTGGGTGACTTGGGGTGTCTAATTGCTTGCAAAGGATAGATAACTTCCTAGGTGAAAACGGCTGATTCAGACCAACCCCTATCGCTAGCCACGCTGGAAAATTTTGTGAAAGACTATGCAACAATCATATTACTCACTTCACTCCTGGGAGTCACTTGTCACTGACACAAGCAGCAGCCACCAAGTGCCTTTGGCGTGAGTGTTGACATGAGGATATTAGAGCGTTCTTAGCTCATGGAAACCTTCCCTAAGGCCCAGCTAGGAATGGAAAGTCTAGGGGCTAACATGGGTGCCGCCTCAGCCTATGGTTTCGAGGGTCACTTGGTCCGTGCGCAGTGGGCAGCGCCCGCCGGGACAAAGCACACTCACCAGAGCCTCAAAATCCTTACAGTCGTGGCGGGCGTAGGACGCGGGGAAGGGCCGCAGCACCGAGTCGCGCTTGTAGCTCTGCAGGGCCGAGGCGAAGAGGCTGCACCGGAGGTCGGCGGCCAGCATGTCACGGTTCGCCGCCTCCCTCGCGGCCGCCCAAGCTGAGGGCTGCATCGTGGGTCGCTGCGCGTTGCCGGGGGAGACACGCCGGTCAGGGGCGAGGGCCAAGCCTGCGGTCAACGCGGGGACAATGGGTCGTCGGGGACCGGGATTCCAAGGCCTGGGTGGAGCTAGGCAGGGGAATGAGGTCGCAAGAGTGAGAACGCACTGCCGAGTGTCCTCTGCGGAGGTCTGGACCGCGGCTCGCGGCCGAGCAGACGGGCGGGCGGAGGAGACCCGCCCGGGACCGCGGGGTTGGGCCCAGGAATAATGGGGCCGGGGGTCCCAGGCCCGGGGGAGGGGCTATGACATGGGATGAGATGACAAGGGCGGGAACGTGCTTACACGTGTCCTCTGCCGGGACTTGAGGCAAACAACCCCTGGGGGGAGGGCGGAGCCCCTCCGCGTGCGGGCGAGGCTGCGGCGCCGCGCGTGCCTTCCTGTCCCGCCGCCCGCCGCCCGCCCGGCTGCCCTCGGCGCCGCCTGCGTCCGGGCCGCCGCGCTCCCACGCTGCTCCGCGCTCCTCCCAGCCCGGCCGAGGCCCGCCCCTTCCCGCGCCCGCCCCTCCGCCCTACGGGCTGGGCCGGCCGGTCCCGACGCCGTGGCTCCCGGGCTGCAGCCATCGCCAAGGTGTGGTGGGCCGAGTCGTCTAAGCTGTCGCTCGCCGCAGCCCTGTAGAGAAACTGACCCGGGCGACCTCTAGCCCAGACTCCCGACTCGCCTCTGTCGCAGCTCTGCAGGCTGAGTCTTATCTCGCCGGGAAGAATTGCTATGTGTGTCTCCCTCTTTAATCGTTTCCCTCCAAAACTGCGCAGAAAGCGCCATTTGACGTCCAGGGAGTTTGAGGCTTGAATGGTGCAATGTTTGCCCAAGTCCCAGAGCACGGCAGGGTGAACCTGGATTCAAACTCAGGCTTTTGGAAACCTTTCCTCTGCCTTTCAGACTCCAGAATGCTCTGAGTTGCTGGTCTCTGGCCTCAGAGTCCCCAGAGCCTCCTTTGGAGGCCTCTCCGCGGGAGAGCATTGATTTAATTCTCCGGGAGTGGAGAGAGTAGACTCCCATCCCCATACACTACTCGGAATTTCTTTAGAGGAAACCCTACAGTGTGCCCCCAAAGTCACACGAAAATCTAAGAACAGGCCACTGTGAGTACCTGGGCCAAGGTATACTCCCACCCTGCAGCATCTTCTGAGGGACAAACTTCCCCCCCTTCCACATCCAGGCTGTGGTAGGCTGAGTCTTACCTCGCTGTAGTAGGCCCTGGTCTCAGAGGATTGTGTATATATTAATTTGGGAGGTAGGGCAAGACTGGACCCCATGAACCTTCAGAGCTTCCCAGGCCAGGCAACAGGTGTGGGTGCTTTCAAAAGTCCACATCAAATCTATGCTTGCTGTGACTCCTGGAACCACAAAAAAAGTGAGAGCTTTATAGATTCAGGCAAGTCCTCTTGTACCCATAAAGTCCTGGGGGCCCCATGAGACCTTAGAACTCTAAGGTGGCTGCTGAATCTCAGGACGCGGAAGACAGCTGCAACAGTGGGGCAGGAGACCTCAGAACCATCTCTGGATCCACCTCTTCTTTACTGCAGGCCCTTAGACAAAAGTCATCCATGGTAGCTCCTCAGCTTCAAGCATGGTTTGTTGGGTGTATCAGTACTTCATTCCTTCTGATGGAGGAATAAGAATCCATTAAATGAATATACCACGTTTTGTTTATCCATTTATCAGTGAATGGTCATTTAGGTTGTTTCTACCTTTTGGCTGTTATGAAAAATACCTCTATAAATATTTGTGTGCAAGTTTGTTTGTTTGTTTGTTTTTGAGAAAGACTCTCACTCTGTCACCCTGTGTAGATTGCCATGGCATCATAGCTCACAGCAACCTCAAACTCTTGGGCTCAAGAGATCCCCCTGCTTCAGTCTCTCCAGAGTAGCTGGGATTACAGGCACCCACCATATCACCTGCCTTGCTCAGGCTGGTCTCTGAACTCCTGAGCTCAGGCAGTTCACCAGCCTTGGCCTTCCAGAGTGCCAGGATTACAGGCAGGAGCCATCACACCTAGCCTTGTGTGCAAGTTCTTGTGTGAACATATATTTTCATTTCTCTTGGGCATAAATTTAGGAGTGGAATTGCTGAGTAATATGTTAACTCTATGTTTATTATTTTTCTTTTTTTTTATTAAGTCATAGCTGTGTACATTAATGCGATCATGAGATACAATGTGCTGGTTTTATATACTATTTGCGATATTTTCATCAAACTGGTTAACATAGTCTTCACGGGATTTTCTTAGTTATTGTGTTAAGACATTAATATTCTACACTTAGTAAATTTAACATGGACCCTTGTAAGATGCACGGTAGGTGTGGTCGCACCAAGTACTCTCCCTCTACCCATCCTCTGCCCTCCCCTCCCCTCCCTCTCCTCTTTCCCCTTCTTCTTGGGCTATAATTGGGTTATAGTTTTCATAAGAAAGCTATAAATTGGTTTCATAGTAAGGCTGAGTACATTGGATACTTTTTCTTCCATTCTTGAGATACTTTGCTAAGAAGAGTATGTTCCAGCTCCATCCATGTAAACATGAAAGAGGTAAAGTCGCCATCTTTCTTTAAGGCTGCATAATATTCCACGGTGTACATATACCACAAATTATTGATCCATTCATGAGTCGATGGGCACTTGGGCTTCTTCCATGACTTAGCAATTATGAATTGGGCTGCAATAAACATTCTGGTGCAGGGTGGGGCCTGTGGCTCAGTGGGTAGGGCGCTGGCCCCATATATCTAAGGGTGGAGTCCCTGGCCAAACTGCAACAACAAAATAGCTGCGTGTTGTGGCAGGTGCCTGTAGTCCCAGCTACTGTGGAGGCTGAGGCAAGAGAATTGCCTAAGCCCAGGAGTTGGAGGTTGCTGTGAGCTGTGTGATGCCATGGCACTCTACCAAGGGTAACAAAGTGAGACTCTGTCTCTTAAAAAAAAAAATTCTGGCTCGGCGCC